TACGCGTAGCCAACGCTTGCTGTTTTCTCGTTTTCTCTGACGATGGCTTCTCATGTGGAGCCGAAAACTCAGAATAAAACTATCGTTCCAGAGATCGCGTCTTCCTCTTCTTTACAACAGATACCTGGGGCACGTATATTCGCTTCTATTCGTGAATCCACGATTGGTAGTGTCTCCGGTCAAAACCGACAAGACAACGAGTCAATGGTTCAATAGTTACACCGTGGAAGTTTCAGCCAAGAGGTCACGGTAAAGTTAGACGTGGCCAGCTGATGACGGTAAATTATCCAGAAATGGCCATCCTAGTCTCTTCTGCCCACATCGGAAATGTTCTTCCAGTTGTAACTTAAAAGCAGCTTGAATGTTCTTCATCTCTTAGTTAGAATACTGTATTTTCAAGTAATTAATTTCAATTAATTTTAAAGGCACTGAAACTTTAATGTTGATAAGGCATTGGCGTAACACTCAATCAATTCAGAACTATGGCCGAGTTCGAATCCAGAAGGTCTGGAAGACAGAGCCAATAATTTGATTTTTTCAGCCTTAACGATATCTTTACACCTTTCATTTTCTCTACACAGCGCGTGATTGAATTAAGAAACTTCTATATCTGATATTTACATATAATAAGAGTGCTTTTGTATTTTCATTTAGCCCGTGATCTGGCATAAAATGCTCTTTGGCCTATGCTTCTTCCATGCTCTCGTCCAAGAACGCACCAAATTCGGAGCCCTCGGATGGAACATAGCCTATCAGTTCAATGATTCGGATCTGCGTATTAGTGTTCGCCAACTGCAGGTAAGACTACGTAATAAGCTTTGTAGTATAAAAAAGTAAAAACTTGTTTTCAGCGGAAGTAGCATTGCTAGTGGATGTCTTTTAAATTATACTTAAATTTTTACTAAATGCATCTCAGTAGGCGTAGTTTTTATTTGCTCACAGGTTTTCGACTTGACTCAGTACAATAGCCCTACCAGCGTTACTTCTTTAACAATTATCTCTACCCACCTGGCCTGGACCACCACCACTCTCCATTACTCCCACATTCGTACACTTTTAATTTTAGATGTTCCTGAACGACTACGAAGAACTGCCATTGGACGCTCTGAGTTATCTTACGGGCGAGTGTAATTACGGTGGGAGGGTTACAGATGGCAACGATCGCCGCCTACTGGTTTCTCTTCTGGGTATCTTCTACAACACAAAGCTAGTACACGAGGAGAATTACAAGTTAGTCTGCAGACGAGTGTCTCTTTACTTTAGTCGCGCTGCCCCTAGGGTCAGACCTCTGTTCATAAAGAAAAAATATTAATGTCTAATTACTTAAACCTTGTGTTTTTCCTTCTCCTAACAGACTGTCTCCTTCCGGGGTTTACAAGGTTCCACCAGAGGGACCATATGAAAGCTACTTGGCATATATTCGGTCTCTTCCCCTTATTCCAAGCCCAGAAGTATATGGACTTCATGAAAATGCCGATATCACTAAGGACAACCAGGATACCCTTATGGTACGAATGGTTATTTGTGTTTTTTGAAACCTGTCATCTTAATAAATTTAAATTCACAGCACAAACCAAAGATAATTTCAAAACGCAATATTATATTATTATAACCGATAAGAGATTTAAATAAGTGCTTACCTTTCAGTGTAAAATTAGATGCCTTCGAAACGTCATCATCTCTGCAAACAAAGTTCGTTTTTGAATTCCTAGTGGGGACATTGTCTCTCAAGTTCTACTTTATCAGTAGTTACTTTTAACAAGGCACTCACGACTATCAGTATTTCTGCAGTCTTTAATCTACCTACTAGTGCAGTTATAAGGTGCAAGGAAAAGTGAAAGAGATGCCATTAAACTAAAATTTATTAGGGGCAAATTAAGCAGGCATTCCGTGATGATCTCGCAAAAACTATGCAGATTGCCCTAATAAATTAATCGCATGCGCAATAAGAACCTTTGATGCATTCTTAATGCGTAAATCTTTGAACTGATTTCAATGCAATTTATGAGGTGTGGATCCTGACACAAGTGCACAGTGAGCACAAGGGGCGTGGAAGAGGTGCTCATTTTGAGCCGTTTTAATTATCGCACACAAATATTCGGATATTCAAATAAGCTTTTTGGTGACCTAAATTTAACTGTTACACTGCAAATATGTCACGCATCACAATCGCCTTAAACTTTTTTATGCTGAATGAGCATCAGAAGTATCCGCATAAATGAACGGCGCTTGGAGGAGGTAATATACACTTGTCGTTTCCTGCCTAGGGAAATCTTCTATGTCCTGAGTGATGTAAGGTCTATGCAAGCGAGTACTTCATTTGAGCAGAAGCATGACATTTCCAGTCTGGGTTAAAAGACCAAGCTTCCTTAGAGTTAAAATTGCCTTGTAACTTTACGCTACCACACTTTTATATATTCTTACCTCAGCTGTTCAACTCAATTTTGCTTACACTGCCTCGCCAATCGAGTGGTGGTGGGAAGTCTGCAGAGGCCACAGTCAAGGAACTCTGTGCTGACATTTTGTCAAAACTCCCCCCAGATTTC